CTGCTCTGGCTTCTTCCATGCTGAACAGGGACGCAGGGTGAGGCAACTGGAGTACCCCTTCAGTGGGTCTATCTAAAAGACTCCCAAATTGTATAACTCTTATCTGTAGGAGGAAAAGAAAGTTCTTGACTGGTAAATAGGAGATGTAAAGGAGAAGTAAAGGAGTAATTAGTATTACAAGTTCTAGACAGGGAACTAGAAAAAAGTCAGAACAGGGCAATTTTCAAATGTTCATATGAGAGTCCTTTGGAATTTCTTAACAAGGGCTTCTGAAAACATCCCTCTATTGGGTTCCTCCTCATTTTTCTTTCGTCTTCCAAGGCTGGATTCTAGAGTGATGGATTCAGGATTTGCTTTCAGGTATTTTGATAGCTGTTGGAGTAGTTAGAATCAGTGTCAGTTCCGCACCACAGTATTGAGGACCAAGATTTGAAGTATTACATCTGAGCAGCACTTTCTGTTTAAAAACAAAGTCATCCATGAGAAATAATTGTCTAAATAATATTTTATATGGACTTAAACCTAATGTCTGGGAAGTTTAATCCCTTGAGCTCTTAAAGAAATATACTAATTATTAGTTATACCTTCCTTTTGGGTGTTTAACACCTTACAGTTGGCACAAATAAACCAATTTATTTTTACTCTTCAGGTTGTTGGAGGATCTGTTCCTCAGGGGTCACATGGCTTGGGAAGAGCCCCAGCTCCTTTCTTTTACCAGTTTCATCTATGTGAAGATAAGTCAAAGGTCCTGCTCGACCATGGCTGGCTTCACTTAGAAGCACGGAGATGATTCCTCTGAGTTGACCCTCTTCTTTGTAAACAGAACACTGGTTCAGGTCCATCTGGTGGGGTCTCCATGGCCTCCCTGAACAAGACAACAGGTGACTCACCACAGTTACAGGACATTTTGAGAGATGCTCCATAGTCCCCTAGAACTTAGTTGACCTTGGAGGGCAAGGGGCAGAAACTGTCCTTTAAGTCCCTCTGACCACATTAGTATAGGCCTCAAAGTGTGGCTGTTAAACATCCAATAAGGTTAGTTCCACCAGTCTGGTACTTTTAATTTCCATGTGCTCTGTAGATAAGGCTTGGGTAAAAACCCAAATATTCTCAGATAAACCTTGACTAGATGTACATTTTGTTCCTTAAACTAGTTTACTAAACTATGACCTTAGAAATTTTTAAATTATATGTATATTTTGTCTCCTTTATTATTTTTATTTTTTAAGATTTATTTTTTTATTGAAATTTTATGTATATGAGTGTTTTTCCCATGTTTGTAAGTGCACCATGCACATGTAATGCCCTGGAGGCCAGAAGAGGGCATAAGATCTCCTGGAACTGGAGTTACAGGTGGTTGTGAGCCACCATGTGGGTGATGGGAACTGAACTCAGGTTCTCTGGAACAGCAGCAGTAAGTGTTCTTAACCATTGAGCCATCTCTCCAGACCACATTCTTTTATTAAGTATAGTAGGAGACATTTTATGATCTGGCTCATCCTCTCTTTTCACCTCCATTTGATATCCATCTCCACATTCATCATCTCACCTCTAATTTGTGTTGCTTGTACCATGTTTTACCATGTTTTGCATCTCCACATCTTTGTCTTGCTATTTCTTCTGCCTGAATAGCCTTCACATCCTTTCCCACTGCCTCTTATCTGATGACTCTTTCATAGCTGTTCTATTCAGTTTTTCATTACTATAACTGAAAAATTACCTTATAAAGAACATGCTGCCAGCATGGTGATACATCCCCATAATCCCAGTGCTCAAAGCCTGAGGCAAGAGGATTGCTAGTTCAGGCCAGCCTTGGCTACGACGAGTCCATCTTACAAAAAGAAAAGGTTCATTTTCCCTCACAGTTGTGAAAATTTCAGTCCATGGTCACTGGCCTTGCTGTTTGGGGGCCTTGTGATATGGCAGCACATGCATGACCACTTACGTCATGGCCAGGGGAAGGAATGAGGAAGAGGAATATCCTAGTTACTTTCTCCTTCCCTGATAAAAATACCTTGACAAAAGTAACTTAAGGGGAAAAGATAATTACAGTTCCAAAGGGATATACTTTATCGTGGTGAGGAGGACATGGCAGCAGACAGGGAAGGGCAGGAAGGCAGGAGTTGGAGGCTGGCGGCCACATTGCATCCACACTCAGGAAGCAGAATGTGAGCAGGAAGTGGGGTTGGGCTATGAAACTTAAGGCCCACCCAAAGTGACCTACTTCCTCCAATGAGGCTTCACCTCCTAAAGGTTCCACACTTTCTTCAAACAGCCCAATGAGCAAGGGAACACATTCAGACACATGAACTCTGTGGGGCATTTCACATCTCTAAATCTTGCTGCTTTGTGTTTCTTTCTGATTCTCAATATAAATCTGGTTAAAAGCAACAATTAATAACCATTTTGCTCCCTGTGTGCTTTGCTCCTTGAAAATGCCTCTATTCCTGATACTGACTATAAATTTGGTTAAAAGCAGCCAGCCATAGCCATGCCATAACATGAATGCTATGAGATCTTAACACTTCCTCTGCCAGATTAATCAGTCCATTACTTTTAAATTCCGTTTTACATTTTCAAGATATTGGCAAAAATGCAGATAAATTGGCTGCCAGAATGTAACCTGAATGGCTTCTAGTCCAATTCCCAATAGAGTTATTGTTCCCCTCTGAAACTTCATGAGCCTGAGTATATTACTTTTCTCATCACTGTGACAAAATACCTGACAAAAAGCAACCTAAGGGAGTGGGACAATACAGTTCATCACCATGAGGAAGCCATGGCAGGGAGACCAGCCCCTGTCCTTGGGAGTGGGAACATGAGGCAGCTGCTCATTACTTGGCACCTGCCAGGAAGCAGAGCACTCAGGCCAGAAGTGAGGCTGAGCTGTAATTATCCCTCAAGGCCTATCCCTTGAGGATACAACCTACTTCCTCTATCTAGGCCATGCCTCCTAAAGTTCCACAGCTTCCCAAAACAGCACTGTAAACTGGAGCCAAGTCTTCAAACACATGAGCCAATGGAGGACCTTTCACATGGAAGCCATAACACTGGCCTCACTGTCCACATTTCTATTGACATGCTGATCTCCCAAGCTCTCACCAGAATTACTCATTAAGCTCTACTTACAGCATTCTGGGCTTCTCTAATCCATGTCTTCAAACACTTCCAAATTCTTCCTACAAGCCAATTCCAAAGACTGTGGTGGCCACTAATGACTCAACTTCTCTGATACCTTTTTTCTATACTAGTTACTAACATGCTGCTGTGACAGAACACCTGACAGAAGCAAGGAAAGGTTTATTTTAGCTAATTGTTTCAGAGGGCTTAGTCCATCATGGCTGGGAAGGCGTGGTAGAACAGCTCTGTTCATGGTGGCAGGAGCATGTGGAGGAAGCTGTTTAAATCACAGTAGACCAGGAAGCAGAGGATAAGACAGGAACCAGGAGCTGAGTATAACCTTCAGTGGCCTGCCTCTGGTGACCTAATTCTACCAGCTAAACCTCATCTCTCAAAGCTACCGGACTCTCCAAAATAGCACCACCAACTGAGAAGCAGGCATTTAAAACATGAGCATGTGGGGATATTTCATATTTAGACCACCACAACTAGCTAGCATAGTGACCAGTATGTAGACAATCTCCATAAATGCCCCTTGAATGAATAGGAAGAAAAGAAGAGGTCTGGAGATGTCTCTCCAGATAGTCAAAATATGATGTAGTTGGGAAATCTATCTTGATCTTTTCAGTGTCTCTCTTACACATTTTGAAAGTTATTTATGATTAAAATAAGATTAATTGAGCCTCTGATTAGTTTCTTCAGTTTTTAGATGGCAGAGCCTTAGGGAAGGGAAGTGATTTCCACAGTCATACAGCTAGTTAATAGCCAAGTCAAGTCAAGGACTCAAGGTTCCAGGTGTCTGGTCCAGTATTTTCATTTATATTATAGAAGCTTATTTCACAGAAAAGGGATAGTTGGGTTTTTAGGGTTCAAGGGCAAGTACATAACTAATTGGAATAAGTTATAGCTATTATCTTCATCATATCAAAGTGGATTCCTGGATCTCATAAAAGTGTTTCTAAAGTACAGAAATATTCCCCTGCAGTCTAATAGTTCAAAAGTTTTCATCATGAAGTGCCTAATAGATCACCTCATTCTTTTGTCAAAAATACCACACAGCAGCTGTCTCCTAACTTTGACCTTCTATAGTCGTATACTGGCCTTCTAGCCAAACTCACCCTGCAGTACCGTAGTCTGAAGGACACCCATGTTTTTCTCTTTGGCTTTGTCAGTTCTTTGTGCCTTAAGGGCAGGATGCTTAAAAGTTGAAGTCACTCACTTACAAAATGAGGAATTATTTTGCGGAGCACTCTGTTCCTAGGGCATTGTCAACAATGGATCACTGCTGATTTCTATGCAGTTCTTACCAAGAAAGTAAAATGATAGCATCATCTATCCAGAAAATAACAGAGGACTTTGAAATCCCCAGGAGGCTTTTTACCATGCATCTATACAAAGTCCCCTTGGGAAATAGGAAGACATTTTGGTATTTTTATTTTTATTTAGAAGTCCAGGAAGACCAAACCATCCATGTGCCTCACATTCAGAAAGCATAAAATTCTAGCATGTAAGAAGTCTAAATAAAGGCTATACTAATTTAGTAACATCTCTATGTAATCTGAAATTATATCAGAATAAGAGAGAGTGAAAATATTAGTCGAGCAGATAATAGCAATGATTGGAAGAGAAATACACAGCGCTTGCATTTTGAATCTCTTAGGACACAGCGGTGTCTGCTTCCAGATTCCCCAAGCTGCCTCCCGTCATAAGGAGGCTCAGCTGAGAAGCTGCTGATGTTGAGCATCTCTCTCCTACATCCCCACAGGCGCAGTGAACCTGCAGGTCGCCCTCACTCGTGGCATACAACCAAACTCGGGGAGAACCAGCCTGATGCCAGCATGATGCAGATATCTCCGGGCACGATGGGCCCTCCTTGGCACCAAAGCTACCATTCCAGGTAAGTGTCACAACTGACACTGGCGGGTTTCTTTCTTTCAAAGGCCATGTTCCCAGAAGCAGAATGTCCTGTCTGCTGCTTTGAGAACATTTTCTCATACTCACCCTGAGTATTCCATCTCTATCTGCTAACTTTCCTCATCCTCTTAAAATGCAGACCATGCGGATGATTCATCCTTACATCCTGAACTAGATTAGCTTGAAGAGAGGCCAAGAGTATTTTGATCATGGCTGGTCATTTTAGATATTTATGGGACCCATCAATCTCAGTCAGGTATTTCTCAATTACCTATTACAATGCCATATTAGAAAATCTTGGGGGCTGGAGAAATGGCTCAGTGGTTAAGAGCACTAGCTGCTGTTGCAGAGAGCCCAGATTCTATTCCTGACTGTAACTCCAATTCTAGAGGAATCTGATGCCCTCTTCTGACCTCTGCAGGCACTGCATGACACGGGCACACTTACACATAGGCAGGCAATACACCCATACACATAAAATAAAAAGAATAAATAAAAATAAAGAAAATTTTACAGACTTCTTCCCTGGGTGTTACAGTGTCCTGACTTCTTTAGTCAAAATTGTATTTTTTTAAGTTTTAGATAAATGATGATATTCATGTATTTGAAGACTCCACTGAAATTTTTTTTCCCTCTGTTAAAGCAATTTGTCTAGCTTAGCTCAGCAGCAGAAACAACTGAGATAGAGGAATTCTCAGTGATACACAGTTTCATGCAATCTTCAGGCAATGCTGCTCTTCTTTTGAGTCCAGTATTATTAACCTGATTTTATAGAACAGGAAATTGAAATGTGGAAAGATTGACTTGTCTGAGTTTACACAACTGAGCAGTATCTGAATCAAGCTAAATCTAAGCCAAATTCCAAGGTTTTGCATGTAACTGCCAGATTTATACTTCCTCTGCTTTCTAGTCACTCTTGTGCTGGTTAAGGTTGTTTGGGAAAGAACAGAGCTACCATAAGTGCTACAGCAGAAGGGATTTATTCTAGAAATCAGGCCATACACTACTGAGAGGGTCAAGGGAAAAAGGATCCAAACCCAGCCCTCAGATATATTGAAGATAGAGTTAGGTCAAGATTCCCCATGCCAACTGCATGCACAAACTGGCATCCGTTTGATCCCAAGGAGTCAGACTCCACAGAGTCATGCTGGGGGCCATGCTGGGATAACGGTAATGGACAGATAACAGTAAGGTCAAGAGAAAAGGGTCATTTCAAGACTGTCCTTAAAAATGAAATGCAGGTGCTGGTATGTGTTCATGCCTGTGTTAGGTAGAGCCACTGAGAAGCTTCTGGAAAGATTACTTAACAGTTGGTGGCTGTACATTTGGCAAAGATAGGACTCAATTAAAGCCCTTAAGGCTCATGTCTGGTCAAGTTAAAGGCAAAGATCTCTGAGTGGTGGACATAGGATAAACCTCTTGGTCATATCAGAGTAAGCCTCAGGCCACAGGAAGAGGTGATTCCTAATTACTTCTCTTGCTATAGTCATCCCAGTCCCCTTAAGGGGAATTATTGATGCCATTTGAGGTACCTGTTCCAGACAGTGGACCCTCTCATGGTGCCCCCTCCCCATGAAGGCACACCACCATTACTTTACAAGCCTGTAGGTATTTGGCCTCTATGAAGGAAAGTGGGGGCACCTAAAAGAAGGACGAATGACAGAGTGCTTGAGGTTTTAAACCTGACCGTGGTTTAAGTCTCATTCCCCACCTGCTGAAGAGCTTGGCGCTCTTTGATCTTGGTTTCCTTTCCTCTAAAATGAAATTAATGCTATTTATGTCTCTGGATTGTTGTAAACATTTAATAAAGGAATGTATGCATCTCCTAGGACATAGTAAACACTCTGTAAGTGACAATTTATAACAATCAGGTTGAAGATTAGGGGTCCATGGAACCTGGTAATGAACTTTGAGGTTAAAGGCATAAAGCCAAACACACTTATGAATGCAGGTTTTGTCTTAATAGAGTACCACTGAAAGGGGGTGCCGCCTAAACTCTCACCTTCTTAGGACACTCTAAACTTGGTCATACTGTGATCTAATGAATGTACTGACCCTACAACAGAAGTCAAACTATTGCAGTCAGCGTGCAGAACACCTGCTTGCAATAACTGTGGGGAGCCAGCAGGCCTCAGGAGTGGTAGAATTGGCATCACAAGTCCAGTATTTTAGAGCCAAGCTTCTCCCTCTTCCTTTTGTTCCAGGCTCCAGTGGTGGGGGGAGGGCTGGGATAGTTAGGCCCGATGATCTGTCCTTGTACTGTATCTACTTCCTGTCCTTTTGATGCGAATTTTAAAATGGGACCTCCTGACGTGACACAAAAATACTATGGACAACAGAGAGAGAAAGGCAAAATCAGATTACCCACACTGCTTCAGGCATGTGTGACACACTACTTTCATTGTGTGCCTTGGGCCTACTCTGCCAAAGGGTGCCCCCCTCTCTCTGAGTCTACTCATGGTCTTATAGTAGCAGCTGCTGCTGGAAGAGGGTTGCTGGTGTGTTCTTAGGCACACAGTGGCATCTAGTGACCTAATGTGCCTGGTTGACTTCCCTCATAACCTGAGCTTAGTTCCTAAAACCCAGTTTTATGCCCGAGTTCAAGGACCTGTTTCTCATGAAAAAGAACAAAATGAGGGAGCAAGGGGGTGCAGGAGGGACAGGAGGCAAGGGGGAGGGAGAAGTACAGAGACAGAGACACTGAGGACAGTCAGCTTTAACTGTCTTAAGAACTAGGTTTGATTTGGAATTTCCCTGAAATTTGATTTTAGCTCCTTTCTGCCAGGTACTTGTTAACTGTATTTCTGCTCTCTTATGAAAGTATCACATAATGGTTCTAAAATATTAAGGCCTCAAGAAAAGACCATGAAAAGTCACATAATCCAGGCCTCTGATGACACTAGCAAAACCCTAAGTAACAGTACTCACTGAGTGATATGTGAGCACCTCCATGTCTCAGTGTCCCTAGTGATGGGGAATATTACTGAAGAAGGTATAATATACCCCAGCTCATAACACTTGTTTCCTGAAGAGGGTTTCATGGAATGAAAGTCCATTGACTATTCCTTGGCAGAGAGTTTCTAGAGTCAAAAAGTTTGGAAAACATTATGTAGTATATTTCCCTTTTGGAACACCAGATGAAAAATAGTTTATGAAAGACTTAGAAGGCCAGCAATAAACACAATTGTTTAACTTATTTAGCCCAATGTTTTCCAAACAGATTTGATCATCTTAAGAATTAGGTTCTGGGAGTACACTTTAAGAAATGTTTCCAGATCCTTGTTTTGTGCTCTTTACGTTTTAGCATTTAAAAATTACTTTTAAGCACCCAAAATAGAGTCACATAGAACACATGCCTCTACCACAGAATTAGCAAATGTTTTGTTGTGAGTGCTTCAGTTCTTTAAACATTATGGATAAAACTGAAGTTCCTTTGATATAACCCAAACTATGATATAATGTCAAGTAGTGCTAAATGCTATGCAGAAAATAGAACAGAGTTACAGGATGTAAGGGGAGCCAGGGTGGCATTCATTTATTTGTTGGAAGTCTTTCCTGAAGCAGAGACTTAAGGAAGGGAGTGGGCCAGGTGAAAGGCCCTCCAGATTGCAAAGCAGCAAGTACAAAGACCCTGAGACTCTGATGTGGGACTATGTGTCTCCTGGGTTTGAGTTACTCCCAGGAAGCCATTGTGCTGGAATGCAGTGAGCAAGGACAGCAGTAGGCAGTAAGGTTGGAGTAGTCAGACCACTGTGAGGAAGGCTGCCTTTGCTAGAGTCAGAACTGTGGTGGGACTGAAGATGTCATTCATTCCTACCTGTTGCTCCTCCCGCCTCCATTAATGCTATCTAATGGCAAAGCTAATGGAGATGAGTTTTCCAGACAGTTGCCTAAAGGCTGGTTCCTGGAGGCTAACAATAGGCCCATATTCCTTAGGCAGCCTTGGAATGGGAGTTCTGAAGGGAAAGGGCACTCCCTGGTTAAGAGTAGCTTACAAAGCCCTCACACAATGCTGTCCACTTGAGGTCTGCTACAGAAAAATATCCCCTAGACCCTTGCTGTGGTCTGGCTGGAGATAAGTGTGATTTCATATTTCCAGATGCTGTTTGTATTTTGAGATATATTAGTGATGATTTTCCCTACTCACTAGTGTTTCAGTAAGCTGTTAGTTTAGTCACTTGGGTTTGTGTGTTCCTAAGTTAGATTTGAATCACCCTTTCAGTAAAAGACTGCAAGGATTCTCGGCAGTCAGTAGGAAGACTTAGTAGCATTTACTACCTGTGTATAGCTGGGGAGTCAAACAGCTCTTGTGTGGTCCACTGCTTCCATTTCCCCTGGAAGTATGAGCCCTGAATCTTCTGTTGCAGAAGGTTAAAGGAAGGATAGTGAGCCAATAGAACTGCCTTTAATGGGACCTCCCATGCTTCTGTGACACAGCCTTTTATTCAGAGGGGAGTTGGGGAAGTGGGATGCAGTGCTGAATAAAATCTGGCCATGATATAAGCCTTGGCACTGAGGTCTGACTTATGAGCTCATCAGCCAGGAGTGTCTTTTTTTTTTTTTTTTAGTTTTTTGTCTTTGAGACAGGGTCTCTCTGTAGCCCCCAGCCGGCCCAGAAGTTGCTATGTAGTCCAGACTGGCCTTGAACTCAGAGATCCTCCTGCCTCTGCCTGTAGAGTGCTAAGATTAAAGGCATGTGCCACCATGCCCAGCTGATAGTTCATTTCTTTTAAGCACTGAATAATATTCTGTTGTCTGTTAGTCATCTCTTTACCTATTAAGACTGGGACATCTTGGTTGCTTCCATATATAATTGAAACATCCATATGCAGGGTTTTATGTGAACATAAGTTTTCAAATCTTTGAGTAATACCAAGAGGTGTGTATTAGTTTTGCCTTACTTTAACAAAATACCTGAGGAAAACAAGTTTATTTAACATATAGTTTGGGGGCTAGAGATGGCTCAGTGATTAAGAGCAGTGGCTGCTCTTACAGAAGACCTAGATTCAAATCCCAGCACCTACATGGCAGCTAACAACCATCTGTAATGCCAGTTCCATGGGCTCTGACTCCCTCTTCTGTCCTCCATGGATGCACTGCACAACACAGGTACACTTATATACATGCAGGCATAATGCTCATATATTAAAATAAAATAAAATAAATTCAACACACAATTTTGGATGCTGAAAGGCCAGAGTTGGTCAGCCCCATTGATGGATAGCCTCAACCCTGGGATGGCCTGTGGGAAGAAGAGATCACAGCTTGAAACAGGAAGCCAGAAAGTGATTTAGGAGTGGGCTTACTGTTGTTAACAAGTCCTTCAGGAAAGTTCCCACCAAAGAAATCTTATACTCTCCCACAGGCAATTCTCCCAGTGCCCAAAGGCCTCCCACTAGTTCCCACCTCTTAAACCTTCTACCATCCCCAGGTAGAAGAGCCGTTGGGGAGCCACCCACACTCAAGCCATGACTGCTGGGTATAAGAATAGGTGGTTCTGTGATAAACTGCCAAGCTATCTTTCAGAGAACCATTTGCATGCCCACCAGCAATGGATAAGATTTCCTGCTCTATATCCTTGTAAGCAGTTGTTGTTATCAGGGTTCTAGATTTGGGCCATTCTGATAGGTGGGTAGTGGTATTTCCATTTGCAACTCCTTGAGGACAAAGGGAATGGAGTTTCTTTTCATATGTTTATTTTCTTTCTGGGTCTCTTCTTTTGTGAGATATCTATTGAAGTCTTTGGCCTGTTTTTTTGAGTGTTTGCTCTTGTTGAGTTTTAAGAATTTTGTTGAAATGTATCTTAAATTCATGATTAAAGCTAATCATAAATAATTTTGAGCCAGGTATGATGATACATGCCTGTAATCCCAGTACTTGGAAGGTAGAAAGACAAGAGAATCAGGAGTTCAGGCTACATAAAGTCCAAACAATTTTGTTTTGAGGCAACTTTCTGGGTATGAAATGTCAATATTGAGTCTCTCTTACCTTCTCCCCAAGTCAAGGGTTAAAAACCACCACCTAGTAGAGCTTAGAAACACAAGGTCTTACCCTCCTTAATGTACACTGAGTTTCTGGCTGGGGAAGTCATCTACAGGTGGTTCACAGCCTTAAGGGCCTCCTGTGATTAAGACATCTTCTCAAGCTTTCCTCTTCTTCCCTTTCTCCTTTGCCCTCTCCTCTCTCATCAGCTTTTTCTCTCTGTGTTTCTCCATTCAGCTTGTGTTAGCTTTCTTGCCACAAACAAATTGTTCCTAGTAGCATTGAGAGTCCAGGAAGATTGCCAGAGTGTAGCTTTTGACTCCTTAAAAAGGAAAGATATTAACTAAAAACATATACATGTGCTCCCAGAGACCCCCATCCTTTAAGTGCCTATTTTCTTACTAAGCTTTTCTCCACAGACAGCCACAATAGACATGGACCTTTCTCCTCAGTCACTCTTCCTCCTCTTCCTCTCTCCTTTCTTCTCTCACCTCTTTCATTTCTTGGCTTGTACAGAACGTCATGTACCACACAGCAAGTCACTTCAACATGCTGCTTCTACCCAAGGCCACATGACTTCTGCACTTCTCAAATTTCTTCTGGTAAGCCTGGGTGATTAATGAGAGGCACACAGACTACAGCATTGGGCAGTTAATCCTAGTGACGACACAGGGAAGTAGAGCAAGCCCCAAATATGGCCCTTTTTACCTACCCTTCCAAAAACCAAACATCTTGCATAAGAGGACATTTATAAGCTGGCCCCTGTGTCTGCACGCCTACTAAATAATTCCTCAGCCAACTGACTGGTTTGTCTCCTTTTCTCCCAGCTCTTCTACAAGTGACCTCTCCAACTATGATCATGCTTATCTGAGGCAAAGCCCTGACCACTGCAGCTCCCAGGGGAGCATGGAAAGCCTGGAGCCTAGTGGTGGATACCCACCCTGTCATCTTTCTCCTGCCAAGTCTACCAGCAGCATTGACCAGCTCGGCCACCTCCATAACAAAAGAGATTCAGCCTATAGCTCCTTCTCCACCAGTTCTAGCATCCTAGAATATCCACCTCCCGGTGTCTCCAGCCGTGAGCGTTCAGGCTCCATGGACACAACTTCTACTCGAGGTGGCCTCCTAGAAGGGATGAGGCAGGCAGACATCCGCTATGTCAAGACAGTCTATGATACCCGGAGGGGAGTATCGTCAGAGTATGAGGTGAACTCTTCAGCCCTGCTTCATCAAGGTAGGGATGCCCAAGCATCAGCAGATAGTCAAGGCTGTGATAAATGGCATAGTGTTACTCGGGGCAGGGGAGGGCCATCACCATCCTGGAGCCAGCAGTGCCCCAGTTCCTTGGAGATTGCCACTGACAACCTGCCTCATAAGGTGGGCGCCCCCCTGCCCCCAACTCGGAGTGACAGTTATGCAGCCTTTCGGCAACGGGAACGTCCCAGCTCCTGGTCCAGCCTTGATCAGAAAAGGTTCTGCCGGCCTCCAGCAAACTCCTCAGGCTCCTTGAAACCCCCGTTTATTGAGGAACAGCTGCATACTGTCCCAGAGAGGAGTCCAGAAAACAGTCCCCCAGTGAAGCCCAAGCATAATTATACCCAGAAGACACAGCCTGGCCAACCTCTGCTGCCCACTGGCATCTATCCTGTACCTTCTCCAGAACCACACTTTGCCCAGGTGCCCCAGGCTTCTCTGAGTAGTAATGGTACAGTCTACCCTGCTCTGGCCAAGGAGAGTGGCTATACAACTGCTCAGGGGGCTTGTAACAAGATGGCTACCTTGGATGAGAATGGGAACCAAAATGGAGCTAGCAGACCTGGGTTTGCCTTCTGTCCGACCCTAGAACAGGACTCACTGTCCTCAGTGGAGAGAAAACCAGAACCCACAGCCAAGTATGTCCCATATAAAGTCCATTTTTCTTCAGTGCCTGAAAATGAGGATTCCTCCCTGAAGAGACATCTCATACCTCTCCAAGGCAACAGCCCATATCCCAGTGAGAGAAAGAACACCCACAGCAACAGGCCCTGTTCTAATCACCACAGCCTCAACTCCCCTCAGGTCCAGGCCTTGCAAGTGAGTGAGGACAAGAGACCTTCCAGGCCCTCACAGCCCTGGGAGGGTGACTTCCAGGAAGATTACAATGCCAACCTCCAGCAGAAACTAGAGAGAGAAGGCCTAGGTCAGGGCCTGTCAGGCAACTTTGGCAGGACCAAATCAGCCTTCTCATCTCTCCAGAACATTCCAGAGAGTCTAAGAAGACAAAGCAGCCTGGAGCTAGGAGGAGAAGCCCAGGAGGGTTACCCAGGTGGCACACCCATCTGTGCAGTCAACACCAAGGTAGAGGACCCTGAAAGGAAAGCAGAGCCTGAAAACAGGGGCTATTCAGACAGGCCTGTTTCCTACTCAAAGCCCGAGGGGAAAGGGAACGCCTCAGCCTCTTTCCACAGTGCAGACCCAAGGTATGAAGAACCACCTGCCCCACCACACCAGCAGTCATCCAGTTTGGGCCACCGGAGACTCAGCTCTGGCGGCACCTCTGCCCTGCAATACAGGAAGCCCCACTGCTCCGTGCTGGAGAAGGTTTCCAAAATAGAAGAGCGAGAGCAAGGGAGCCACAGGCCCTTGAGTGTGGGCAACTTTAGTTATGGGCTTAACTACAGGCCCAACAGGACGGGCCCAACTTCCAGTACTTCTGGGGGTGACTTTGAGGAGCCAAAAGCCAGCGTCCATTTCTCCGAGCCCACTGAGCCTCTGCGCAATGGGGAGCAGAGCTTCAAAAACGGGGAGTCCAGGTTGGAAGAGGCTTCCTGGCAGCCCTGCGGCCAGCAGCTGAGGAGGGCTACTGATGGTGGCCGAGGTCCTCCAGGCCGAAGCCGTGAGCCCCCAAGGCCAGACCCCCGCCTGCTCCGCAGCCAGAGCACCTTCCAGCTCTTCAGTGAGGCTGAGAACGAAGCCGTTTGGTCGGAGGAGCGGCCGGGCACGCCCGAGTCCCCCCTACTGGACGCTCCCTTCAGCCGCGCCTACAGGAACAGCATCAAGGATGCCCAGTCCCGCGTTCTGGGGGCCACCTCCTTCCGACGCCGGGACCTGGAGCCCGGGACACCCGCGACCTCGAGGCCCTGGCGCCCGCGTCCCGCCTCTGCCCACGTGGGGCTGCGGAGCCCAGAGGCTGCAGTTTCAGCCTCGGCCTCACCGCACACCCCGCGGGAGCGGCACAGTGTGACGCCTGCCGAGGGCGCGGCCCAGCCTGCAGCCCAGGCTGCACGCCGAGGGGCGCGCAGGCGCCTGACGCCGGAGCAGAAGAAGCGCTCGTACTCGGAGCCCGAGAAGATGAACGAGGTGGGGGTCTCCGAGGAGGCCGAGCCCGAACCCTTGGGCCCGCAGAGGCCAGCGGTGCGCCTGGCCGAGAGCAAGGTGGCCGACCGGCGCCGCATCTTCGAGCGCGACAACAAGGCCTGCTCCACCCTCAGCCTGTCGGGGCCAGAGCTGAAGCAGTTCCAGCAGAGCGCCCTGGCCGACTACATCCAGCGCAAGACGGGCAAGCGCCCTACGCCCTGTGGTCCCCCGGAGCCTGGGCTGCGAGAGCGGGCCCAGAGCGTCTACCTTCAGGCTGGCCCTGCGGCTTCCGAAGGCCCCGGCCTGGCCTCGGCCTCCAGCCTGAGCTCGCTGCCCCGCAAAGACATCACCCACGTGTCTGCGGCGGCCACCGAGGCCCTGCGAGTGCCCCGAGATCGCAGCAGCTCCTTTGCCGGGGGTCGCCTCCTCGGGGAACGGCGACGGTGGGACCCACAGGCCCCGAGGGAGCTGCCTACTGCGGCTAACTTCGGTCCTAGGGGCACCCAGAGGATGGACAGCACCCCCGGAGGGCCACCTTCCTGGGGGATAGTGGCCGGCAAGGCTGGGAAGTCCATGTCCGCCGAGGATCTGCTGGAGCGCTCTGATGCCCTGGCGGTTCCTGTGCACGTGAGGTCCAGGTCATCGCCCACTGCAGACAAGAAAGGCCAGGTAGGTGCATTCTAGACAGTGTGTCCAGGCCCAGAACCTTCCCTTTAGTGGGGATCTCTTAGCCCCGCCCCTTTGTTCATTTTTCCTTTTAAATAGGAAAGTATTATTTGTTTTCTTGTGAATTACCCCACACACACACCTGTTGTCGTTACTTTTCTGTTATTGTGATAAAACACTATGATCAAAAACAACTTAGGAAAGAAAGGGTTTATTGCATCTTAAAGTGACAGTCGATGATCTTTGAGGGAAGTTGAACAGGAACTCAGGCTGGTATCCTGGAGGCAGTATATGAAGCACAGACCATGGAAGAATGCTGCTTACTGGCTAGCTCCTCTGGCCTATGCTCAGCCTGCTTTCTTATACAACTTACAACCACTTACCCAGGAATGGCACCACCCACGGGGGTCTGGGCCTCCTACTGCACTCAGTAGTCAAGAAAATGCCTCACAGACATGCCCACTGACCAGTCTAATTGAGGTTCCTTCTTCCCAGGAACCTGAAGCCAACCATTAACTACCTTAACCTGGTTTCCTTCCAAGAGATGGTATAAATGTCTGCATAGCTTTTTAGATACATAGTTCTTTTGTTGCTGCTGTTTGGTTTTGGTACTGGAAATTGAACTCAGGGCTTTGAGCATGCTAAGCGAGTGTTCTAACCACTAAGCTATATCCACCCAGCCCTTATTTTGGGGTAGAGTCTCACAAAGCTGCCTAGACTGACTTTGAACTTCTCAATCCTCCTACCTCTATTCCAAAAAGCCTGGCTTTTGATATCTTACTCTGTGTGTGTGTGTGTGTGTGTGTGTGTGTGTGTGTGTGTGTGTTTGCCTCTCATTTTAGGAAGCTGCCCATGCCCGTCTCTCAGTGTAAACACATGATTAGGTAGGTAGTTAGAAAAAGGATAGGTATTCTTGTTTTTTGTTTGTTTGTTTTAGTTTCTCTTGAAGATTGGATTTTAACCAGGTTAAAGATGGGCAGGATGTTGACAAAGGGATAGGGTATGTGATCCTGGGAGGCACCAGTAGAAACAAAAAAGTAATGGCTAACTGCAGATTTTGCTACAGAGGTTTTGAAACTCATGCACACACAGGAAAACACATGTACCTATTAACTCACATAATCCTCTGAGGGGAAGTAGTGTACCCCCCCATAATTTCTTCTCAAAATTGCCCAGGAATATTTTATTCCCAGTTTAACACCCCCCCCCAATTTTTTTTTTATAAAGCCAATTCAAAGCCTTGATACTGTTTTCTTCCCTTCAGAACAAAGAACTGAGCTTATTGTCAGCCCTGCCATTAAAGCTCATTTAAAATTCAGAAGCCTGGCTTGATCCTCGCCCTTGGGAGGCGGTGGCTGGCAGATCTCTGTGAGTTCAAGGCCAGCCTGGTCTACATAGTGAGTTCCAGGCCAGCTGGAGCTACAGGGAGGCCCTGTCTGAAAACAAAACAAAACAAAACAAAACAAGCTCATTTAAAATTCATAGGTATAAGTGAAATCTCAGCTAGTTTGGACAGGAGTGGTTTAACTACATAGGACTCCAAACATTTTCTTCTTTTCACCCAATATTGTAAAGATGATAGAAAGCTTAGGTGAAAACCAAATCATCTCCCCATTGTATGTCATTACACTGTCAGGGAATTGATAGGTGACTGAGTTTTGTTTTACTTTTCCTCCTAAATATTTTATAAGCCTGGTCACTTGGGAAATAGACCTTTTTTTTTTTTTTTTTTTCCTTAAAGAGAAGTGAAGAGATTCCTTCAAATTCCAACTAAGTACTTTATATTATTTGAAAAACTTCTTTAGAAAAAAAAACCTGAATGCAGAATATTATTTAAATGCCCATTTAATAAGGAAGAAGAATACCACACTTAGATGTTACTTAATCTGGGGAATATGAAACCAGTGGAAAATATTTCAAAATGAAACATGCCTTTGTACTGCTTCTCAGAACCAACACATTCTGAAGAATTCTTGAGCTTCCTCCTCCCATTCTCCCGCCTCCCTCCAGCAACTAGGCCTGGCCTGACTAGAGAAATGACCAGACAAGCTCTTCTTCTTTCATGTTCTTCTACCTTATTTGTAGTTGAAATGAAGCAGGGCTAGGGATGAAGCTTGGGGATAGGAAATTTAACTAGCATGGACAGGCCCTGGGCTTGATTGCTAGCACTAAAGGAGGGAAAAAGAAACAAACATGGTTATTCTTACCATATAATTATTTGGGTTATGATTTCAGGGTAAATTATGATTTTTAGCTTTATAAATTCAAATTTTTAATTTTTGGAATTCTGAAGTTCAGGAATTCTACCATTAAAGGTTTAGTTAATAAAGAATATTTTTCCTCCTAGCTTTAGTGTAGTCAAACAAGATGAGTAACCCTGTGCAGACTATCTGAGTTAAAACCAAAATGTGGAATTTATTTTTGGAGTGGCTGAGTTTCTGATATTCCCAGCATACGACTTGCTGCATACTAAGTTCATGTTCTATTGTTATAAGCATCTGACAAGTTCCTTCTTAAAATTCCATCGGTGATGATACTTTGCTCCAAAGCAAGTCATCATAGAAATCAGTTCCTCTGTGTATGACAGTTGGTCATTTGGGGGCCTGAAATAATGACTGCAAGAGGCTGCCATGTTGAACTACAAATTTGACAAGACTGGGCCTCTCCCTAGCCAGCTGGGGGTTTTCTCCCTGAAGCATGCAACATCTCATCTTTTTTGCCTTTCGTGAAGGATGCAGTTGCAGAAAAATGAATGTTATGGACGGAGCTTCAGTACACATTAGATTCTTGCTTGTTTCCACTTACTTTTGGTGAGACCTTAGAGAACTTACGCAGTTTAATGTACCAGGCCTACAAAGCTGCAAAATTATCCAAACGTTTATGCTGCAGAGACAGAAATTTATCCTTCTTCACTGCATAGATTAAAATACAGCATTGCTGGCTGGGCATAGTGGCACACGCCTTCAGTCCCAGCACTTGGGAGGCAGAGGTAGGCAGATCTTTGTGAGTTTGAGGCCTGGTCTACATGGGGAGTTCCAGGCCAGCTGGGGCTACAGGAAGACCCTGTCTCAAAAAGCCAAAAAAAAAACCCAAAAAACAGCATTGCCTGTTTTCAAAACTCCAGGGTAATAGATTCCTTGTAGAAATTCCAGATGCTGAGTTAGAGGCTTCTCTGATTCATCTGGACTGTATTTTCAGGGACCTTCACATTCACTATGAGCTGGCATGACACTTGTTAATGCCGGGGAAATTACTCAGTGACTAGCTTTACAGTGTAGATGTAGGCCTGAGTCTGTGGGTTGCAACTGATAAGTCCCTTGTAGCACCTGACACTTAAGTACCCATTCAAGCTTAGGCATGATTTAGAATTGACTTTTTTACAAAATATGAAATTGGGGCTGGAGTGATGGCTCAGCAGTTAAGAGCACCAGTTGCTTTTGCAGAGGACCTGAGTTCAGTTCCCAGCACGCACAACTGTCCAGATGTTCTTTTCTGTCCTCTGCAGGCATTGCACCACATGTGGTACACTTACATGTAGTCAAAACACTCATACACATAAAAGCTTAAAAAAATTAACCTAACAAAGTAGAAATAACCGACACTGTAGCTGAGATGGCTGAGTGGTTAAGAGCGCTGGCTGCTCTTACAGAGGACCCAGGTTCAATTCAAGCACCCACATGGTGGCTGACAACCATCTGTAACACCAGTTCCAGGGGATTCGACGCCCTCTTCTGACCTCCATGGGCATTTTACAACACGGGTACACTTCCATGCATGCAGGCAGTACACCCATACACATACAATAAAAGTAATAAGATTTTTTTTTTAAAAAAAGAAATAACCAACACTCATCAGATTTTTTACTCTGTGCCAATAATTGCACTATTTTTTTTATTTAATTTTTTTTTATTTTATGTGTATACATGTATTGCCTGCTTGTAGGTAAGTGCTGTGCAATGCCGGTGGAAGTCAGAAGAGGCTGTCATATCCTCTGGGACTGGAGTTATGGACAGTTGTTAGCTGCCATGTGGGTGCTGGGATTCGAATCCAGGTCTTCTGCAAGAACAACCAGTGTTCTTAACTGCTGAGCCATCTCTCCAGCCCCTGCACTATTTTATAAGTATAAACTTAACCCCATGCCTATGCACTAAGGTAGATAATACTATTATTGTTATGTTAAAGAGAGGTAACAGGTGCCTAGAGAGGGTACAAATTTTACCCAGGGTAGTAGGGAACAGTGTTTTAAAACCATACTGCCTTATTCTAGTCTTGAAGTTATTAATGCCATGCTGTTTCCTTGAATAAAAAGAGGTTGTCATGGGGAGAAGGTGGCAAGAGTTAAACATCTTAGCTATGACAAAAGGCAGTAAATTTGTTTGATTTTAATATTTATTAATTCTTTACATTTAAAATAACAAAGTTTTTCATATGGATTTCTAATTCATTTTCATAGATGCTTGAAATCAATACCCTAAAGTAGATGGATAGTACAGTCTTCATATTTTATTGATCATAGAGATACTAAACTTGGAACCCCCCAAAAGAGTAAAGATTGGGATTCTGTAGACTTTAGGTTATAGTCTTTAAGTGTGCTAAAAACTAGTGTGTTTTAGCTGGGTGTGGTGGCGCACGCCTTTAATCCCAGCACTTGGGAGGCAGAGGCAGACAGATCTCTGTGAGTTTGAGGCCAGCCTGGTCTGCATAGTGAGTTCCAGGCCAGCTGGGGCTACTGGGAGACCCTGTCTCAAAAAAGACCCCCCCAAAAAACCAAAAAACTAGTGTGTTTTAAGCCAGTTTTGAAATAATTAATAAAAATAAGTTAGATACTTAACGAGTTAGTGTAATTTTATGCCTGGTATTTCTCCCATAGCACTGTTCTTTTCTATATAATATATATTCTACATTCTATCTTCTATAATAATATAATATCCTAATACATTCTTTATACTTAGAGTTTATAGAAATGCAAAGCAAGAAAATGCACACAGAAAATACCCTTCTTGGGCTTCGTCTAGATTGAAAAGATATTTTCCTTCTGTCCAGATGGTATTTTGAGGGCTCAGTGGTAGAGACTTACCTAGCATATACAAGGGCTAAGGTCCAATACTCAATGCTGAAAAAAAATTTTTTTTTTCAATTAATAGGAATTACCTAAATAGCCAAAGACTGAGTTTAGCCACCCCCCCTCTTTTTTTAATTGTGTGCCCACTTAAATATCAGTTCCATACAAAATCACATGAATATGGAAGTTAGGTTCATATGCATACTGAAAGACAAAGGGTGAACATGAAAACAGCCTTAAACTTTACTGCAGTAGGGGCTCAGATGAGGCCTAGGCAACTTCAGTTAATTATTAGCAAAAGTGACATATTCATGTCAACAGGAAAGACTGGTAGGGAATGACTTAAAGAACGTAAGTTTTCATGGAGAACAGAAATTTCTATTCCTATTTGATTGAATCAGAATGCATAGAATTTATCTTAAAAGTATGCGGGTCTCATTGTATCCATCCCAGCTACATTTAACCTATTGAAATTCCACAGAAAGATCTTGGGCTTTCAAAAGATGCTGCCTTGACTCCTAAGTCTGTCTACTCATTTAACCATGGGCTGCTTTTCTGAGCTGCAGTCACACACCTGCTTATGTACACATGCATGCACACACATGTCCCTGTGCACATTTATGTGCATGAAAGTTACAAAGGAAATGTCAAGTAGCTAATATTCCAGGCATATAAATTGTGATTGTGAGACATTTAGTGAAGTGTGTGGCACATAGTAAGTACCCAATAAGGAGCAGCTGCAGTTATTAACATTTGGGTGTTTGTTTCTTGTTTCTTCTGCCTACTGTCACGTTTCACCCTTGATTTTCTTTTTTTTTTTTTTTTTTTGATGTGGACACATTACTGGGAATTGAACCCAGGGTGTCATGCATGCTATGCAGGTACCCTGCCATTAAGCTATATCCCCATCTAGCCTTTAACTCCTTTTTTTCCCACGTGTATCATTAGGCAAATTGGGGGAGAACACACATGTAGGGGGGTGGTTGCTTGTGCACATGTTTAGATGCATGGAGGCCTGACTCAGGAATCTTTTTCAATTATTCAGTTTTTTCCTTTGAGGCAGAATCCCTCAGTTGAACCCAGCGCTCAGCAGTATAACTAATCTACAAGCCAACTCGCTCCAGGGATCCTGCCTCTTCCTTCTGAGTGCCAGAATTAATTACAGGTGGGCCCCTGTGCCTACTCTACATATCTGGAGATATGAACCCCAGTCTTCACACTGTGCTGTAAGCACAGTCACATTCACTGAGTCATCTCTCCAGCCTGTCAACCTTTGAATCTTCATTGCTTATTAGTACCTTTATCACCCAGACAGAAAAGAAAGTAAAAAGCAATTAGCTCTTTAGACAGGGTAAATAGTGAAATAAATTACTAAAATTAATTTCAGCGATTATATATGATTTTCTGTTTTCTACTTGTGTTATATTATCATAGAGAATTGATTACATTATCAACAGTAGCAACATGTCTTCATCATGAGCAGTTCGCATGGGACAGATTTTTTTGTACTATCAATTTTACATATTTAACCCTTTTTAGTATACCAATATGTACCCTCTATGACAAAAAAATCTACCCTAAAAAGTTCACAGTAATTGCCAGGTGTGGTGGCACATGACTTTGGTCCCAGCACTTGGGAGGCAGAGGCAGGCAGATCTCTGTGAGTTTAAGACCAACCTGGTCTACATAGTGAGTTCCAGGACAGCTGGGGCTACAGGGAGACCCTGTCTCAAAAAGACAAAAAGAAAAAAAATGTCCTTCTATTGCAAGTTACTACCTGAGCTTTTAAGTCCAAAAAGCTCTATCCTTCAGTGATGAATTCTGTAGCTTCTGTGTAATTGTGTATACATAATTCTGAGTCTTTCTTGACCATAGTTAGCTCAAGCAATTCTAGCAAGTATTTTTTTTATTCCATTATATTTTAAGGAAAACGTGCTTCTCTTAACAAAGGACAACTTACTGATCGAGACCACTAGTGACCAAGGAAAGATCTTCCAAGTTGTGATTAGATGAGGCAAATGAGCCATCATAATTTAAATGTTTATGTGGGGAAAGGAACCCAGGGGTGTTACCCAGGGCTCTTTGGTTACTGAAATTCAACCTTTTTTGGCAATGTTGGAAAACAAAAACAAGGCCAATAACCCAATACTCCTTAAAAACTGGAAAGCAAGCAAGTGAACTAGGCCATTGTTTTCATCGATTCAAACCAAAAACCTGGTCTACATAGTGAGTTCCAGGACAGCTGGGGCTACAGGGAGACCCTGTCTCAAAAAGACAAAAAGAAAAAAAATCCACAGACTGATGTCACATATGGACTTTTTCCCCAGGGAGAATTCATTGCAGCCTGATTGCAAACTAGGTTCATGTCTTCTATAATCAGAATGCTTGAAAGTTTTGCAAAATTATGACTATCCTTTTCCTGTTATCTTTCATATTTCCTGTTGCCATTTCAGAAGTTTGGCCTAGTGAATTCATTTATTATCATTATATTTCAGGTATTGCAGTGCTTTTGAACTCTGGAAATAATCATTATCAGAATTCTCTTACTTGACAAACATTCTTGTTAGGTAACGTGCCTGTGAGACAGACAGAAGTTAAATCTTGACTCTAACTTCTGACCTTGGGCCTATCTCCTCATCCATGCAGTGGTGTACACTTCCTGGAGCTCTGAGTACTAAAGGGGAAAGTCTGTAAGAGTGTTGCCATGGTGTCTGGCAGCTGTAGGTCATCAGTACATAATTGTTCCTCCACCTTCCTACCAACACCTTATTGATAATTTCAGACAACTGTTTATTGATAATGCTGTCCTTTTCTTGTGTTTCAAGGATGTGCTCCTCGGGGAAGGCAGTGGGTTTGGTTTTGTGAAGGATCTACATTGTATGGCTGGCCCTGGATCTAGGTATGTATGTGTACATGACTTCAGAAAATAACAAGTGTTGACAAGAGTGAGAAGTCAGTACCCTACACACTGTGGGAATATAAATTGGTTCAACAGTATAGGAAACAGGATGGAGGTTCCTGAAAATATTAAAAACAGAACTACCGTGTGATCTAACAGTACCACTCCTGAGTATACATCCCAAAGAATTGAAAGTACTCATTGAGAAAGATTTTCATGCCCATGTTCACGTACTATTCACTATTAAGAGTAGTCAAGTGAACCGGGCATGGTGGTACATGCCTTTAATCCCAGCACTCAGGAGACAGAGGCAGGCAGTTCTCTGTTCAAGGCCAGCCTGGTCTACATAGTGAGTTCCAGACCAGCTGGGGCTACAGTGAGACCTTGTCTCAAAAAGACCAAAAAAAAAAAAAGAGTAGTCAAGTGAAAAGAACTCAAGTCTCTATCAATGAATGACTATAAACAAAATATGGTAAATATAGTGGAATGTTATTCAATTTAAAAAGAAATCTTGCTAAATGCTACAGCATGGATGAACCTTGAGGATATTATGCTGAACAAAGTAAAAGATGAACAGGTGAAATTTGTTTGGTTCCACTTACGTGAAGTATCTAGAATAGTCAGATTCTTAGATACAGAAAATAGAATGATAATTACCAGGGTACAGGGAAGGAGAAATGGAGAGCTGTCTAATGGATATAGTTTCAGATTTGCAAGATATAAAATACCTGGAGATTTGATTTACAACAATGAGACCCCCCCCACCCCCCTCCCCAGTTCTGGGGAGCAAAGCCAGAGCCTTATGCATGCTAGGCAAGGGCTCTACAACTGAGCTATATCCCCACCTCATAAACAAATATTACTGAACTACTGAGAGTGGGGAGTATAGTGGTACATGCCTATAATCCCCTCTTGGAAGAATATGGCAACAGGATCTTGAATTGAAAGGCAACCTGGATGAGTAGCAATACCCTGTCTTTACCAACCCCCTACCATCACCACCACTACCAGATGCTTAAGGTGAAATTTTATGTAAAAGCTCTTACCATAGAATAAAAATGGTTTTTTTGTTTGGTTGGTTTTTTTGGTCTTTTTGAGACAGGGTCTCCCAGTAGCCCCAGCTGTCCTGGAACTTACTATGTAGACCAGGATGGCCTTGAGCTCACAGAGATCCACCTGCCTCTGCCTCCCGAGTGCTGGGATTAAAGGCATGCACCACCACGTGTTTTTTAAACATAAGAAAGTTGTTCTCAGACTCATTCTTGATGGGAACTAGAGAGATGGTTCAGTGGTTAAGAGCAGGTACTGCTCTTGCAGAGGGCCTGAGCACCCACATTAGATTGCTTGCAATCACATTAGATTGTTTGCCTCTGATATCTACAGTCAGTCTCTCTCTCTCTCTCTCTCTCTCTCTCTCTCTCTCTCTCTCTCTCTCTCTCTCTCTCCCTCTCTCCCCCTCTCCCCCTCTCCCTCTCCCTCTCTTCCCCTCTCCCCCTCTCTCCCTCTCTCCCTCTCTCCCCTCCCCCCAGCCCCCCCATACATGTAATTAAAATAAATGGCTTCAAAACTCTATTCTTGACTACTAGGATTCCTGGATACATATCAATACCCCATTATAAAAGGAATTTGAATAAGTCTTTTTTTCAAACCCTAAAATTATTTCTGAAAAGCAGAAAACAATCACTATGAAGAAGCATTCTCAACCAAACAAAGCATTTGTTAATATGGTTCATGTAAACTAAGATCAAACATAAACTAAAAGCATCTAAGTTTATTAGACTGGATCTTTAACAGGTGTTATTTTTTTCTATGTTAATGATGTCACCTTTAAAAGCCTCAAAACAGGGCTGGAGAAATGTCTCAGTGGTTAAGAGGACCTGCTGTACTTTCAGAAACCAGAGTTCAGTTCTGAGCACCCATATGGCAGCTAACAACAATCCTCAACTTAAGTTCCAGGAGATCTGATGTCCTCTTCTGGCCTCTGAGGGCATTGTACACACACGGTGCATACATACATACAGGCAAAACATTCATACACAAAAGGTACAAATAAATTTTTAAAATAAAATAAAAGCCTCACGGGGCATAAATATAATAAATAAAGATACTTGAATTAATCATGAAAATATCAGACCCTGTTTGACTCCATGTCCTCTGAGAGGATACTAAGTTTGTTGTTTGATTTTTTTATTTTTATTTTTATTTTATTTTATTATTTTTTTTGAGACAGGTTCTCACCCTGTAGTCTAGGAATTTTCTCTATAGCCCAAACTTACCTGGAACTTTCAGGCCTCCTCAGTGCTGGGATTACAGGCATGTATATGTCATCCAGCTAGGATGGTAAATTTAAAAGTTAAAGTCCTACATTCTGAAGAGCAGCAGGGCAGATGAGAGACCATTCATGTCTAACAGGGTACTTTGTACCAGGTGCTGGGGATGCCAGAATGTATAATGTGGAAGTGAGGAGGACCTGTTGCCTCTGGGTGTATAACATAAGCCCCTAGGTGTGGAGGGGTTCCTGATAAAGAATGCGTCCTTGAAGGAGTCTGTGATGATGAGGAGGGAGGGGTTACATTGGGGGGGGGGGAGAGAGAGAGAGAGAGAGACTCCACTCAACCACCTGCATCTCCAGCAAAAATAAAGGCACACGAAGAGCTGATTTGGTTCTTTGTGGTCTTCCTCTGTATGCTGCATTATCCTTGCCTGCCACTTAGTTTCGTGGCAGACCTTATACTGCTGCTGGAATGTAGGACTGAGTCACAGCTCCCTCTGAGCTTTCATATCTATGAAATTAAAGGTGCCATCCATTCTCCACATTCCCTTGCAAAGCCAGATGGGGAACTGCAGATACAGAATTTACAAATGACAGGATTTGAGGAAATTTTTTTTTTTCATTTCACACCAATATATTTTCTTGCTTCATAAGAAAAAGAATTCTGGGGCTGGAGAGATAGCTCAGTGGTTAAGAACACTGGTTGTTCTTGCAGAAGACCTGGGTTCAAATCCAAGCACCCACATGGCAGCTAATAACTATCTAACTTGAGCCCCAGGGTATCTGACAGCCTCTTCTGACCTCCACGGGCATTGTACTACACGGGTGCACTTACCTACATGCAGGCAATACACAAATACACATAAAAAAATAAAAATAATAAAATTATTTTTAAAGTTTTTTTAAAAAAAAAAGGAAAAAGAATTCTAAAAGCAGTATAGAGTACACAGCACAGTGCTACAGAACATTGAATAAGCATCGGTTGTTTAAAAGCCACAGCAGAGACTGACTCTCTAAGTTGTTCAGTTTCACAAACTGAGTCTTGAAAGCAAGATTTCAGTTCACACAGTGCGTTATTGGTTGAGGCCGTTCATTCATGTTAAATATAGCAATGGAATGGGAACATTTTAGTTGAAACTTGCTTTCAGGTGCTTGTTTTGGTAAATTATAACTAGCTCTATAAGTCCCATTAGTCAACATTGGGTGTTATAGTTAGTTATTAAGATTGCTGTTTAAGCTGGGCATGGTGGATTTAAGACTAAAACAAACTAACTAGAATTTATATTTATAACGTGTATTAATATCACAGCTCATTTTAAAGGTTGTCTACTTTTTTTTTTTTTTTTTTTTTTTTTTTTTTTTTTTTGTCTTTTTGAGACAGGGTCTCCCTAAAGCCCCAGCTGGCCTGGGCTCACTATGTAGACCAGGCTGGTCTTGAACTCACAGAGATCTGCCTGTCTCTGTCTCCCGAGTGCTGGGACTAAAAGCATGCACCACCATGCCTGGCTATCTGCTATTTCTTTAAAAAATATTTGCGGGGCTGGAGAGATGGCTCAGCGATTAAGAGCACTGACTGTTCTTACAGAAGACTGGGGTTTGAATCCCAGCACCCACCCACATGGCAGCTAACAACTGTCAATAACTCCAGTTTCAGGGGATCCAAAGCCCTCTTCTGTCCTCCGTGGGCATTGCATGACACAGGTGCACTTGTGTACATTCACACAATATATACATACACATAACTTAAAAAAAAAAAAGGAAAAAAATATTTGCAAGGAATCTTTTGGGATGTAAAAATTCTCAATACAATGTCATAGATGGTGATTCAAGGAAAACCAAAAATACCTAAATTTTGCAAGCATTTAATAAGTATGCTCTGGAGAAATGAATAGATGAGTAGATGGATAAAGGGGGAAAGATTTTATCAATTAAATATGGTGAGGTAACTATTTCTAGTGGGAGCTAAGGGCCTAAAATCTAAAAGGTTAATATCGCAAGGGTGTATAACTGATAGTGTGATACTAGTAAATAGATACCTTATTGAGGCAACTGAAGCAATAGACAATTACATGTACATAGTTATATGCATGAGAAACCTTCGGCTCAAAAAATACACCATACTTAAAATGAAAATCTAAGGCACACAGAATACCAAATGTCCCCAGAGCCCAGAGCTCTTCCTCAAAGCAGAAAGGAGCCGAAGAAACCTATTGCTTATTTTCCTTCATGTCCTACAGCCTGTCATCAAAAGCTACCTTACACGTGTAGCCAGGCAGGTGGTGAGAGAGTGCCTTGAATGCAGACATTGTTCTGATTCATGTGGGGACTCTGCCTGTCTAGAACTTAGTCAAGAAGAGTATGTTTCTCTGGCATGAGGGTCCATCTCAGTGCTATTCTCATCTGTGTTTCTCAGACTTGATGTTTACCCTTCTTTATAGCTGTAATCCTCACGTCTGTACCCTGTTTCAGGTCTCTCAGTTGTTCAGACAGAGGCCAAGAAGAGCTGCCATTGCCTCTGCACCATCCCACCCCTTGTTGGAATGGCTCAGGCTATAAAGCCATTGGGGGTTCCTCAGTTCCTACTGAATGTCCTGGAGCCACAGACCATGCAAGGCAAGCTGGCAAAACACCTTGTCCTAGGCCACTGTCAGCAGGAATGCAAGGTCACCTCTCAGATGCCAGGGCTGTGTCCCTACCCCCACACAGTTCCCCTCTGCCATCACCTGTCCCCTCCAGCTACCACTTGCAGCTTGCCACTGATCAGCAGACTGGAAGGGATGGTCAGCCAGGGCAACAGCCTCTTGGGCCCTCCTCCTCTGCTGTGACCCACAGAAGCGATGGCCATACCTTGACCCAGCCTCCCAGCCCAAGAGGCCATGAGTTCGCCAGCCCAGAGCATGGGATAGATGACGGAATGTGGAAGAGGGCCTCACTGCCTCAGCGACTCCCTCCTTGGGTGAAGTGGGCCCACGCAGTGAGAGAGGACAGCCTATCTGAGGAAGCCTTGGCTTCTGAGTTCACAAACCTGAAGCACTATAACAAAGTGATGAGTCTCCCAAGTTCATGCAGCACTTCCGACCCAGACACTCCAGGGAGGATCTCTCTCCGAATATCCGAGTCAGCCCTGCAGGCTTCCCCACCACCCCGGGCTGACTATGATGATGAAGTATTTGTGAAGGACTTGTATCCCAAGGCTACATCAAGCCCCACATTTGAAGCTCTCCCCCCACCCCCACCTCCACCTCCTCCACCAAGCCAGGAAACCCCAGTGAACAGCTCAGATGACTTCCCTCCACCCCCTCCACAAGCCCTATATGAGGCACCACTGGACATGGAGGCACACAGGGAACCCAGCAACAGGTAAGTGAGCAGCCTTAGGTGGGTGGGGCAAGCCTCTGGCTGAGGAGGAAGAGATGTTCACAGACAGGCTCCCCAGCGTCTCCATCTGTTGGCCACAGGAGAGCCCTAGGATAGAGATTCACAGACTCAGCTGATACAGCTGGTTCATTTGTTTACTTTGGGGGGGCGAGGGGGGCTAGTGTTTTTTGGGTGCCAAGGAGTGAAAGAGTCAAATCCCAAACCCACTTTGCTGGCTGAGTTCTGGATTAGTTAAATAAGAATAGAATGCAGAAATGCCATTTTATTAATAATGGGAAAATATTAAAGAATACAACTTCCATCTGGATGAAGGCATCCTCCTGGCTAAACAGGTTTGCCCACCTTAGTCACACAGCCTGGAGGCAGCCTCTCAAGGAAGAGCCTTGGCTGTCATACCCACTTCTCTGACCAGAGACAGAGGAAGGACCAAGGGCAGAGCTCAAGGTCAGTAGTGTTAGAAAACTTCAGAAGTCAGGAGGATAATGAGGAACAAGCATTTTCCCACACAGAGTCTAAGACTAACGATTACTCCTAACAGAATTCTCTTTGGGGTCCTCAGGGAGATGCATTGGGTAAAGGTGCTTGCCACCAAGCCTGACAACCTGAGTTTTAACTCCCAGAACTCACATGGTGAAAGGAGAGAACCTACTGCAAGGTGTCCTCTGACCTCCACAGATATATGCGCATGTGCGTGTACACACCTTTTTTTCCTTACTCCTTTCTCAGCATTGAGCCTGGGAAGTAGTCCCTGCAAGGGTAACTTTGGCAGGACAGTCAATTGCATGTTTGCTGAGTTAGGGACACTGTAATCATTCTGACACGCACAAATAGATAAATATAAAAATAAATTCTTGCTTGGGTAGCACCTTCTGAATGCCACAAGGATCACTTACCACATTGCTTTTGTCCATCCACCTCTTTCAGAAAGCTCTGGATTCTGGTAGCAACATTTGCCAAAACTGGTTTCCTAGTGAGTGCATCTTCTGGGACTAGCCCTGGACTCAGGAGAAGGCTGTTTAGAGCCCTCTTGGTTTGGGAGAAGGTGCCACAGTCACTGTCTCCTCATGCCACTCCTGATTTTGGTAGCTGTGGCCGTGACAGTTTTTCCTTATGCTTCCTCTGCCTTCATCTTCACCTCTTTTTGACTCCTCTCTTAACCGGTCCCCTCTCTTTCTCTCGTAACTCCAGCAGATTTTCCAATAAGACCGTTACAAGGGAAGGATGCATGCCTGGTGCAGCCCATTTGGTGGGTAGTCAGGTAATTGCTTCCATACCACCCCAAACTTTGGCCAGAGGTTCAGAAGGCAGTGAATCTTCCCCAGTTCTCAACATGAGTATTCAACCTCAACTCACTGGGCATCTTGGCAAGCAGCCATCTCCTAGCTGGACCCCAAATCTCATCTGTGAACCTGTCGGTGGAACTCAGAATGTGGGAAAGTCAGTCAGTGCTGAGCCTCAGAAGGTCTCGGAAGACATCAGAACAGTGACTCTTGCCAAGGAAATTGTCCACCAGGACAGATCTCTGGCAGACATTTTGGATCCAGACTCCAGAATGAAAACAACGATGGATCTGATGGAGGGATTGTTCCCCCGAGATGCTAGTGTGCTGAAGGGAAGCGATGTAAAGAGGAAGGCTTTACAGAGAACTGTCAGGCACACAGGATGTGAAGGCAAAAGGTAAGTCCCCTTTAGTGTCTCCAGAGAGCCTTACAACTGAACTCCTTCTGTGGGGTAATGGTTGTATAGCCTAGGAGTACTTATCCAGTGTGTTCCTACTTCCACAGGTCACTGACCAAGAGTGGCATTCCACCTCAGCCTTAGGGGAGTAACTCTGAGGAAAGGATATGGGATAGATGCCCACAGCAAAAACAATAGCAGTAATAATCACTGTGTTAATACTTAATGTTTACTGTTCATGCATCAGGCATCAGGTTCTTTCTGTAAACATTCCATTTCATCTTCACAAGTACCTTCTGAGAGAACTGCCAGCTCCCTCTGAAGCACAGAGGAGTTAAGGTCATGCTCCACCAAGGCCCTACAATGTGTGTGGGGGGGCACTTGGATTTGAAGTTAGCTCCTGACTGCCTGCATGCTGTCGGAATGATAACACAGTGTCCCTAACTCAGCAAACATGCAATTGACTGTCCTGCCAGAGCTACCCTTGCGGGGACTACTCCCCAGGCTCAGTGCTGAGAAAGGAGTAAGGAAAAAAGGTGGACATGTCTGAGGCCTTTATAAAAACAAGGTGGACATGTCTTTATATATGGACAAGAGCCTAGACAAATAGATTTATTTACTACACAGAGAATTAAGGTGAGCATTTGCTCAGATCCTGAGCATTAAGAAAGTGGGCACTGTCCCGGATTTGCTCGGCCCCTTAGCCCTGCTCCTGCGGCTTCCTGAACCCTGTGCTGATGGTCCTTTAGCAGTTTCAGTGCCCAGCCACAGTGAGTCAACCTTGCAGTCTATATTCTTCATTCTCCTGATTTCTCTTGGGTTATTCTGAGTTTTTTACATGTTTGGCTTTTTTAAAGGACTATTGGGGGGGCGAAGATTATAGAGTGGTTTTTTCTTTTTAATTTTCAATGAAAGCTATATATATTGACAGACTGAGACTCAGCAGTTAGTAGCTTCCAGACTAAATTAAAACAGAACATTCATCCAAATTTGGGTTTTCATTTTAGAAATTTCCAGCTGCTTCTAATTGAATTAGTAACAGGAACACCACGTTTTATTTGGGCAGGAGGGAAAAACCTAAGAGCCATGTGCCTAGTATTTACAAGCTGTGGGCCCTGTTCTCAGCGGTCCTCGTTTGTAGCTCTCCAGTCACCTTGTCTGTCCCCTTCTCTTCAGATCTGGAGAATAGAAGCTACTTAGGTGTGATGGCTTATCCAGGGTCATGTTTTAGCAAACATTACTGAACACCTGCAGTGTGCAAGGCAGCTCAGTTTGTACCACAGAGGCCCAAGGCTGAGTTTCTATGGGTGTGCCAGTCAGTTCATCATGGTGAGCATAGATGGTCTTCTTGCTGCTGCTTAATAACTCACTGCACCGAGACCAAAGTAAGTTCACAGTACATCCTTAGAAAGACACTTCCTTTGAGAACCTATGTTCTGGGGCTGGAGAGATAGCTCAGTGGTTAAGAACACTGACTATTCTTGCAGAAGACCTGGGTTCGAATCCCAGCACCCACATGGCAGCTAACAACTGTCTGTACCTCCAGTTCCAGGGGGATCCAACAGCCTCTTCCGTCCTCTGCGGGCATTGCATGACACGGGTGCACTTACCGACATGCAGGCAATACACACATACACATAAAATAAAAATAAATAAT